CTCTTCTACTCCAAAAGTTTTTTCTCGTACGCCCCGCCTATTTTTTTAATAAAATAAATAGATATATAAAAAAATAATTCAATACTGCTACATTTTTTTTCGATTTACTTTCTTAAAAAATAATTAAAAACAATTATTTAAAAAAAATAATTTATTTACGATTTACTTTCTTAAAGAATAATTAAAAACAAATAAAAATCTTCATTTTATTGCGTATTTTAGATTTACTTTATTAAAAAAAACTAGCAGCATGGCCCGGCGTTGCCCGTGCTTGATTCAAAAATCGTACGATTCATACAGCAATCGCTATCACTTGACTTAAAATATTTTTGCCCTTCCTTGCCTTTAAAGGAGTGGCCTTTGCCGTGCTGATGTTGCTACCTGCCTTACTTCTTGCCTATCTCACACTGCAAATTTTTTCTAAGCTCTATACTAAACATTAAATCTGTTACGAAAAAAAGAACTAAACAAAATGAACACAAAACTATCAGTTTTAAAAACGGACTCGTAACTGGAAAAACCGAATGAAAAAAGAATGTTAACAACAAATACTTTTTCACACCCGACCAAGTTCTGCGGAATCAGAATCAACGTTGAGTTTAAGCAAGCGAATGAGCCAATTAGAGTAAAGTGCCATGCAGATTTAAATTTTTCCCACTTGTGACGGATGCAGCTATCGATGTTTTTGCATGCTAGTTAACATTCATGTCAGTCAGCTGTTGGCTCTCACGCTGGCCAATAGAATCTTCCTGCCTATTCGTGGCAGCCAGCTATAGGCTCTCACTCTGGCCGGTAGAAAATGGCCACAAACTACATGAAACCTGCCGTAGAAGCATGAAGAAATCGATTATTTCCACTATCGAAGGGAGTTTGGAAATTCAAAGTCGGTCTTGGCCTTTCCGCTAACTTGGAGCATGTGCATGTAAATTTTGAGCAAATCCGTCTAAAATTGCGGCTGTGCATTCGTCACACACACACACACACACACACACACACACACACACACACACACACACACACACACACACACACTGATAATTAAAAACAATTGTGTTTTATTGAATTATTTTTATATATCAATTAACTTTATTAAAAAATAAATTTCTTTACGATTTACTTTCTTAAAAATAATTAAAAACAAAAAAATTCATATTTTACATAATGCCTTTTTAAGTTCCTTATTTAAGGAAAAAATATTCACTAATTCAGGTTGTAATCGTTAATAAATTACTTTAATTTGGTTATAAAAATAAAGTTATGTTTTTCTGGTGCTGAGTTTTCTCGGTCCTGAGTCGGCAGTGTTGTGTTGGCAGTGTTAAATTTTCCTGCATCCACTATTAAAGGAGAAGAAGGACAACTCTGAATTCAAACCCCCTCCAACTATGGGTTAAATAGACTCGCCAACTCGCAATTGGCCAAGCGTGGTGGCTACTGATACACCTCTGAGGACATGGTCAGTTAGGAGGTGGTTTGTTAAAAAGGTGCGAGATAGCCCTGGATTGGAATATGGATTTCTATAGTCAGTTACAACACTAAGTTGAATTTCTTTCCAGGATTTATGACTCTGAAAATAATTCCATATGAAAAATTGCATCACGAATCTTTTTTTTTTTCTTTTCTTTTTAAAGCGCTTCGCGTGTCTCGTTGCAAGCTTGGTTATCTCCTCCATTCAATCAACGCGTATTCAAGTCGTTTCAATTTAGTTTCCATTTATCATTTTCGTGGGTGATTATATATATGGCCATAAGCACGCAATGCAGGTTGATAATTTTCATTTTTGGCAATTTTTCCACCTTTTTCCGTGGACAAAATGAATATCCCCTTTGCTTGTATGAAGTTAGCAAGCACATTGCCGTGCATGGAAACTGGAAAAGGGAGAAAATCACTCTTTATTGTTCCGTAAATGTTAGGCGTGTGCAATAATTTCCTACATTTTGAAACTGATCTTAAATTTAAAAAAAGAAAAATGGAAAATATATTTCAGTTGCAAACTTCTTAAGATAATAATTATAAGAAACTTTAACTACAAATACACAGATTTATTTTTCAAACTTCTTTCTTCATTTTGCTTGTTATCATCGCAACAGTTTTGCTGTTGTACGTTCTAAACTTGTACAAGTGTCTGTCAAAATTAACCTTGCGATAATTTTAACGAAACTCTTTATTTAATCCAGTGGTTGATTGTTCTCAAATACCGCTTCTTCAGCAGAGAGCTTACGACATTATTATGTTGAAACATTGGTTCGTGTCCGATGGCAGAAATTAAGCAACATCGAGTTTGGTCAGTAACTGGATGGGGACAGTTTAGATATGTCAGGTGCAGCAAGCTTGAATATGCGGGAGATGTAACCGCTCGGAATGAGAAATGAGACAGTTCCAATTCAAGTCAGGTTCGAATTTCAGTCGGGATTCAATTACACCAAAATACCCTCAGCAAAGGTAAGATTCCATCTATTCTCCTCCTCTCTATGGGTTAAATAGGAGGTCTTTTATCTGAAAATCAATATAATCTCCAAAGAACTGTAATAAAAATCGCAAAAAAGTATTATTCTTACAATCTACGTATCCGTAACGAAGGGAGTAAATAGTCCAGGCTTTGCCCGAACTATTTGCTCAGGACACGTTACGTATGAATACATGTCCTTCTACCACACCCAGTCATAGAACTGATATTGGCCAAGCGAACACATGAACAGATAGATTTAAGAAATGGCAAAATGCCAGCTTACCAATAAACTCATGTTACGACTAGGCTGGCATTTTTGAATTTTTAAAAATATTTTAGCTCTACATAATCGACTTTGAATTTTGTATTGAGCACTTTATTGTTGTTTATATCTTTTAGGCGCGGCTGTTTTACAGACTTCTATATATATATATATATATATATATATATATATATATATATATATATATATATAGATAGATAGATAGATAGATATGAACACATATAAACTAGAGATATAGAGCGATAGAGAGATATAACCAGACTGAGATAGATAGATAGATAGATAGATAGATAGATAAATAGATAGATAGATAGATAGATTGTCAGAGAGATATGAACACATGTAAACAATATGTATATATATAGAGAGATATATAAATAGATATGAACACATGTACACAAGAAAGATAGGTAGATATGAACACATGTAAATAAGTTGATTCAGTTTTAAAGGCTTTTACTTATATATATATATATATATATATATATATATATATATATATATATATAGATAGATAGATAGATAGATAGATATGAAGAGGTTGATATATATGTGTGTGTATGTATACGTGTGTGCCTGTGTAGATAGATAGATAGATAGATAGATAGATATGAAGACGCTGATATATATGTGAGTGTGTGCGTATGTATATGTGTGTATCTGTGTAGATAGATAGATAGATAGATAGATAGATATGAAGAGGTTGATATATATGTGTGTGTGTGCGTATGTATATGTGTGTGTCTGTGTAGATAGATAGATAGATAGATAGATAGATAGATAGATAGATAGGGACTGATATAGATAGATAGAAAGAAAGAAAGAAAGAAAGAAAGAAAGAAAGAAAGAAAAGGAAATATAATAATCATGACGACGTTATTTCGGGATCTATTTTATTTTTAAGCATGCGATGTGAAATTTCTGCTGGTTATTCTATTAAAGTTTATTTTTTAAATAAAAAAAATAGTGTAGAGCAAGTCTTGAACTCACCCACCCTCAACCAATTTGTTTTAGAAATTTCGTCAGTGCAAATAATACCATCTCATCATATCGACGGACAGCACTAATTTCTTTAGATAATATTTGTATTCTCATTTAACGTCTGCATCTCAGTGATCATATTTTTTTTCTTTTTTTTTTTTTTTGGCGAGGTGACAGTTAAAGGAAAATTATTGATGGTAATGTACGAACGCTCAATAAGTTAATCATATGAGAAAGTCTCGACCAGTTACACGGACATCGGCGTTTTTGTAGCGCAAATAATGTTTATGGTTTATTTATTACCAAGGCACCGAAGGCAATGGATGGGGATAAATATGAAATAGCTAATGAGGGAAAAAAGGTAGAGTTACCCAAGTGGGAAAGACAAGCACAAAGACGAGTGAATGTAGAAAGGGAAATGCGAATGAGAGAAAGAAGAAATATGAAAGGATGGAGAAGTTTCTCTACGAGCAAACGGTCAAGCGGGCATAAAAAGTAAGAGAGTAAGAGTAAGAGTAAGAGTAAGTGAGAGAGAGAGAGAGAGAGAGAGAGAGTGTGAGAGAGAGAATGTCGGACAGAAAAGATGTGAAGATTGGAAAAGAGAATAAATGGAAAATCGAAGACAGGTTGTTAGAACGAGAACAAAATGAATGAAGAAGAGGAAAAAATGCATAAGTGAATGAAAAAAGTTGAAATGAAAAGGATGGGTAGATAGAGGAAAACGAAAGCAGAAACGAAAGGAGATAGATAGATAGGTTTGAATAGACTGAGATAGATAACTATGAAAAAGGTAAAAGAGTGATAGATAGATAGATAGATAGATAGATAGATAGATAGATAGATAGATAGATAGATAGATAGATTTTTGAATAGACTGAGATAAACAGGCTATGAAAAAGCTAAAAGAGTGACAGTTAGATATATAGACATAAGCGACTGCCATAAATAGATAGATAAATAGATAGATAGATAGGGACTGAGATAGATAGATAGATAGATAGATAGATAGATAGAGAGATAGATAGGGACTGAGATAGATAGATAGATAGATAGATAGATAGATAGATAGATAGATAGATAGATAGATAGATAGGCAAAGAGATATATAGATTGATAGGTATATATGGTAGGTAAACAAGAATAAACACAGAGATTTAAACATATCTATCTATCTATCTATCTATCTATCTCTCTCTCTCTCTATATATATATATATATATATATATATATAGAGAGAGAGAGAGAGAGAGAGAGAGGCAGGGAGCAGAGAGAGAAGAGACACAGAAAGACTTACGAACAGACAGAATCATATGAACAGATTAGATAGATAGGAACACATATAATCAAGATAGATAGATAGATAGATAGATAGATAGATATGAACAGACTGAGATAGATAGAGAGATAGATAGATAGAAGAATAAACATAGTGAAAGGAAAATGTTCAAATAAAAAAGAAAGAAAAATTGAAAAGAAGAATGAAATAAAAATAGGGAAATGTTGCGAAGGTGACAGCGAAATGAAAAAGAAAGAGAGTAACATCAAAAATGAGAAGAGAGAGAGAGAGAGAGAGAGAGAGAGATTGAGAGAGTGATAACGAAATGCCAAATAAAGAAAGACTGAAAAAGAGAAGAAAGCCAAAAGAAAAAGAGTGAGTGGGTGTTTAAAAATTGTAAAGAAGAAAGAAAGAAAGTAATAATAGAATGATAACTAAATGAAAAAGGAAGATAGAAAAAAACAGAGAGAAAGAAAGAAATGTAGAAAGAAAAGAGAAAAAAGAAAGAAAAAACAAAAAGATAGAGAGAACGAAAGAAAAAAAGAAAGAAAGAATGAAAGAAGCTAGAGAGTGGGGCATAGCGAAAATAAAAGTGATGGTAAGAGAAATGAGAAATAGAGAGTGAGAATGAGAGTTAAGAGTTACGCAGATGTTAAAAGCGGCAGTGCATTACTTAACACGGGAGGCAAAAGAACAGATTTGGGTTGCACGAGGAAGAAATGGCGGGAAACATTGATGCACGTTGCAAACGACCTTCGCTTCGAGCCAAATGGTCTTGCAAAAGATAAAACAATGAACGAAAAACAAATGAAATAACATAGAATAAAACTTAAAAGGAAGAAAATCAGAAGGAATCAACATAACAACGTCAGACACAAGATCAAGAAAAAAAATAATCAAACCCAATTTTCCCGACATCGACTAAAACAGAGTAAAAAACAAGAACTTTGACGTCTTGAGACAAGTCCGCTTCTTTTGTTTCGTCTTTGCTTTCAATAATTAAGATCTCCGCCCTCCAGTTATTCGTTCTCTTCTCCTCCTTAAAATGCCCTAAGTTACTCAAACCAACCTGATCAAACGTTCATAATCCGTTTAGCTTTAAAAGAAAGAAAATTATACTTCCCCGACAACATATTCACATACTTTTTATACTTTACAGAGATATTTCAGCTGTCGATATATGGTTGCAAGCTAAGTATTATACAGTAAAGGTCTGTTTGTGGGTACTGTTGTACTTCTAAAATTTCCAAACATTGTTTGGCAAGCTGCGAGGCATTGCAGAGAATATGATCGAAAGAAAAATCATATCATTAAAGGTCAGGAACTTTTGCTGTCATTCTTACGAGTTCGTTTTCATAAAACACCCGCGGTACAGAGTTGTCATGTAAGTTGAAGGTTCAAAGTCATAAGACGAACATGATTAAAGCCAAAGGCGATGACTTAAACAAATAATAAAAGTTTTAGATAAGTTTAGTAATATTTCATTCAAACTCAGACAATTCTTGGAGGCAGAAGTTCAAGAATTTTGAAACCGTTTTTGCTTTAGCTGACCTTGCAAAGAAAAAAAAAAAATACGAAAGAATTGGAAATTCTGGGTAGACCGGTAACTTTACAGAAAATAATATTCCAAATATCAGCAAAAAATATTTAAGTGTGTATTTTTTGGGTAGTGAGGAGATCAATTAATTGTTTTCAGATAGAATTTATGCAAAAAAAAAAAAAATTGTTGCGCAGAGGATATCTACAAAGAAACACAGCATCTTTGTGAATGACCATCACTTGATAAGACACCAGAAGTGTTGAAACAAAATGGCTATTTTTGTAGTGATTTTATAATATGTTTATGTTATAATTTTCGAATAAATTTTATATATATATATATATATATATATATATATATATATATATATATATATATATATATATATATATAAATATATATGCGTGTGTGGGTGTGTGTGCATATATATATATATATATATATATATATATATATATATATATATATATATATATATATGTTTGTATATATAAGACTGTGTGTGCTAGAATATATATATATATGTTGGTGCGTGTGCGGGTGATCAGGCTTGTTCAAACAATTCCTTGTTTGTTTGCTCTTTTTGTGGGCAACTGAGACAACAAAATCCATTTCCGCTTTACTTTGTTTGCAACGACCACATTATTCGTCACGTTGCACGCTAGGCGTCTAAAACATAATTCTATTATACCTTAGACATTCTGTTTTCACCAAGTACTTTCGGAGAATAATCAATCGGAAAAAAAAAAGGCGAGTAAATTCTTTTAAAAGGGTGAAAAAAAAATAGGCTAATTAAACTGAGAAGATTTAGTACTGCTATTTTTATTTTTTTTTTGTAAAGGGAGATCATTTCTAATGGGCGAACAAAGAAAAAAAAACAGAAGATGGACATTAAAGATTTCCAACCTGTAAAAGATAACAGAAATTAATGAATGAAATTGAGAAATTGGATTTCTTCAGTTTAGGAAAATGTGCCTTAAGAATAATTAAAATAACAAAATAACAAAAAAAAAAAAAAAACCCAACATGGAACCTATATACACTATAGTTCAAAAGTTTGAGAGAACGCCTGGAATTTTTTTTAAATTGGCCCGACAATAGTTATTTTGTACTTTAAATAACAGAAAATTATTATACAATGTTAAAAAATAGCGAGATGGGATTATCTATTAGTAATTTTATAATGACAAAAGATAAAAAAAAAGTCATTTTACGATTAAATTTTGCTTTCATCAAAATATCCTCCTTTCGCCTTGATTATTGCAGCACAAATTTTTGGCATTCGTTGCAAAATTTTCTCAAAATATGAGTATGATAATTGATTCCGTTCTTTTTCCAATGACTCTAAGAACTCTCTTTTAATTTTCATATTTTTTTGTCACTCTTCTGACTCTAGGGGTCGCTTCAAACTTTGGAACTGTAGTGTGTACATAGAAAAAATTTAAAAATGATTGTCATTTTTTGTTCGACAAGAAATACCTAAGTTTTTAACGGATGCTATTTAAATCCAAAGAAAATCAAATTTAAAATGCCCAAGGCAAGAAATTTGGAGGCATTTCTTTTCTTCATCTGCTATATATATATATATATATATATATATATATATATATATACAATTTGTTTTTCTTTAGCATTTCATCCCAAGGAAGGCAATACATCCACTAAGACGCAACGTTACTGAGTGTTAGAGAATATGATAATAAAACACTATTAAGAAGAGAGAATAATAAAAGAACAGGAATTAAGAAGACAGAAGATAACGATTGACATTGCATTTAAATTTTTCTGAAGATCAAAATTGACGGGAAAGCAAAAAGCCGGAATAGCGTTCCACACGGGAGAAGTGCGATAAAAGAAACTCTTAGAAGACAACTTACGGTTGCATCTAGCCATTTCAACTGTAAAATGATGAGACCTTTCCGCCAATCTAGTACCGCACTCCAATTCATAAAGTCTAGCTTCCATACAGGAAAATTCATCAGGGCATTTACCATAAATGTATTTCATAGAAAATACTCTGGGAAGCCGCATTTGGAAGGTGGGAAACCGAATCCGAGATGCCAGGCCAGGGCTAATATCATTGCAGATTCTTCTAAATATATAGCAGGGGCGCCAGGCAATATTTATTAGCAATGTCCAAAGCACGGGAGAATGGTTCTCTTGAGAGAATGATTGACTAACATGGCACAGTGAAACGACTTTCCTAGCAGCAGACCTACCAATTAATTAAATATAATCTTTCCACTTCATGTCAGCGTAAAATTTTAGCCCGAGAAAGCGCAACGCGTTAATCTCCTTGAGGTTAGCATTAGCCATGCTGATGGAAGGCAGAAAGGATTATCTCAGATGATTGATAAGACAACAATTTTGGTTTGGAGGCATTAAAATTAACACGCCATTGATTAACCCAGTTAACAGCAGATTGTAATCATTTTTGAGACTAGCTGCCAATTTGACTTTGACGAACTGATAAGACTTACTTTTAAGAGTAAGTCTGATCAGTTCGACAGGAGTAAATAGTTCTATCAACAGCATAGATACTGAGTTGAGATCATATGCTATAAGGATGATTATATTTTCTGAATGTAGTTTCTTTTCCTTTTAATGCAACGAAGCGTATATAATACCTGCAAGTATTTCATATTCAATTCAAAAGGCTAATAAAATATTCCAAAATAGAAAAGCAGTTCTTTCTGGCAAACACAAAAAATTAATATATATATATATATTATTCTACCCTCTAACTCTATCATAACTACATCAGAAAAGAATTTATCTAAGCTCAACATGAAATTTGTCACGACTACATCTAAAACAATTAAAGACTTAATCAATAAAAAAACAAAACAACCAGCCAAAATTTGAGGGAGGAATATACTCTATCAAACGCAGGAAGTGCCAGAATGAATACGTTGGAGGATCCTCTGGAAGTTTAAACAAAGGACTATATGAACCTAAAAGGGACATTCAAAAAAATAACACATAAAACGCATTGGTTGTTTACTGTAACGAAACTGACCACAATTTTGACATAGGAAATGCTACTTTGATTAAAAGAGAAAATAATCTACTAAGACGAAAATGTCTGCAAAATGTCTTGATCCTCTAATTCATCCACGGTAAATTTGCGTCCTGGCTCTTACAATATATCACCATTTTTAGTTGATTTTCTGTTGCCACAATCGAGGATAGTCAGAGACAAAGGCACTGGAGAGAAAAAGGAAGAAAGAATACAGATTGATTTGGCTAGATTGAAAAAATATTATTTAAAAAAAAAAAAAAAAAATATTATTTCAAAAATGTTCTTTCAAAAATTTTGAAGCTATCAGTGTCTCTCGTTTCCTGCGCATGTGTAGACATATACACTTATGCAAATCCTACATATACACGTATGTATATGTAGGATTTGCATAAGTGTATATGTGGTATATATATGAAAAAAAATAAATCTTTAATATTACCTTCAAATATTACTCCATCTTAATTCGAAACCTAAACTTTAAGTAAGAAAGATTACCAATCTAAAAATGATTATAGATTACATTCATAAATTAGATTCAAACTGATAAAGATGTTACCTTAACTGTCTTTTATAATATTAAGAGTACTATTGGTCAAGTAAACAAACTGTTATAGTTTAAAACTTTTTTAATGTGTTCGCTATGAATGTGTTAATAAATACAGTAAATTATCCCTAAATTATTTGTAAGAAAGTTAAATATTTAAATTGCTAGCAAGCATCAAATTAATTTCTTCGTGGATTTTTAGACATCTAAATTACTATCAAACATTAAAATGTATTTTTTACATAAATTGCTAAAACTTACCACCTCTCTCCTTCATATATAAAACCTATTTACAGCCTCTCTCTCTCTTTACTTCCCCCTTCTTTCTTTTTCCTTTTTCTTTTCTCTCTTCTCCCCTCCCATTTTAATATAACACTTCCGTTAAGTTAACCGTTTAAATAGGTCAAGGTCTGGTCACTCCTCCTCCCCCAATACTAAGTATGATTGAGAGAAATATTAAATTAAACCCTCTCTAAACTCTACCATGCCTCTCTAACCACTCCTTATTACAGTCTCTGTTAAATTACAAAAACTAACACTACCCATCAATTTTCATTTCATTTTTCGTTTCATCTTTTGGAAGTGCTATCTGATGATCCGGCGTCCTTTAAAGGGCTCTGGTGAAATAAATTATTATAATGGAACCTTAAAGTGATCTGTTTTTCTTTAATATATATATATATATATATATATATATATATATATATCAAGTTCTCTTATAAGCATGTCTGATTGAATTATTTCTGTTTATTTTT